GCGGTTACATAATATACCCACCGATAAAAGAATGTTGGCAGGTTGGCTACCAGGTTTATCTGATCTGTTTCGAATGCATGTTTGCTGCTTTTTGGGCTGATTTCTCGTCCATGCACTGGAAAAAAAACACATTGGATCTAGAGTCCAGACTCTTAAAAACATCGACAAGAAAAAGTGCTCTTGATTCAATCAGAATCCAGCTTAAATCAAGAACCAAGCCTCTTAATTTAAGCGGATTTCGTTTTGATTCAAACAAAAATCCGATTGAATCAAGAGTATTTTTTCTTGTCAATATTTTCAAGAGTCTGGACTCTAGATCCAATGTGTTTTTTTCCCAGTGCATGTGTATCAATTTTGCGAGTTTTTGTCATAACCTCTCCTCAAATTCCGAAGAGATTTTTTTAAAGTATCACTGCGGTAAAAAAAAAACCTCTTGGTTCAAGAGTGCAGTTTCTTGTCGCCGGATTTAAGAGTCTGGACTCTTGTTTCAAGCGGATTTTGAATTGAATCAATGCAAAATCCGCTTGAAACAAGAGTTCAAGACTCCTAAATCCGGCGACAAGAAACTGCACTCTTAAGTCAATGCACCGCGGCATTGGTCCAAGAGGTTTTTTTTACCAGTGAGATTTGTTTGAAGCTGGTTGAACCTCTGTTTATCCTTTATCAGTGTAAGTCTCAATCAAGCTCTAAATAATCAAATTGGCGCCATGTTCTTTTCCCAACCTGTATGCTCTTCGAAGGTGCCATAAAAAAGTGGCTCTCATCCAACCGGGCGCTTAGTTCCGTTGCGATATAAAGCTAGTGCCGCCGTCTAAGTTGTTTGAAAGATTAGCCCATCGAAAGTAGGCTCAACTTCACTGAACTAGTCAACGTCATATCGTGGACATCAAGTGATTCTACTCTTTCTGTATATTAAATTCGCAAGCCTTTCACCACGGAAATTCCGTAGTGGAAATGAATTTCAATTTTTATCCATATCTTATTTAGTATACTTATAATCCGAGTAAAATATTGATTCACAAAATCAAATCGAAGGAAAGCGCTCTGAGCCAGTATTCCTATTTGAGAAGGCAGGTGAAAGTATATCGCGTTGAAATAAAGGAAGTTTCCTCTTTATCGTTGTTGATTTTGTCTGTCCCATTTTCTTTATTTATTATTTTTAAGGAGTGATCCATCCTCTGGTTGCAATCAGTTCCACCCTGATTTTCCCCCAGTTTTATTCCATACAACGATTGAATCCATCCGCGTGACCAGTAATTCCCTCATGTCATACTACCGCTTCTCCCTCCCAATTTTTTGTCCGCCTTCTATCAAAACTGTATTTTTTCCTCTTTTCCTCTTTTTCTCTTATTCGCTGTCTTCTTTTTCCTTCTTGTCTCTTTAAATAGCAGATATAGTTTATCAAATGGTTAATCAGAATGCGCTCTTTGATCAGTGGGTATCTTAGCAAGTTTCCGTAATCTAATGTTATTTGGCCAAACAGTGGCTGGCTGTTACAAATATCCTATTTTTATCGTGTAATTTAGAGGAATTCTCTTATGATAGGCAAAAATTAAATTTTTTTCACATTGCACTTTCTTTTTTCTCATACCACCTGATTCCTATACTAATGAAGGGTCTCAAATATTTTAATATCAAAAGTACCGACAATGAGCAATGACCGCTGTGTTTTCCAACCGATCAATCTTGGCGGCTCCTCCTGCTGTCAACCCTCTCGACCTTGACTTTGAATTTATCTATGATAACGGTAACACCCTCGTCGAGCGCTTATCTTCTACTCTCCATTAAGTCCACAAATTGCCACCGTGCTCCTAGACCACGTGGCACAGCTATCTGTCCACCTACCCACCCCCTCCAACGTTGGTTTATCACACTGTCCGTGTCGGAATTTCATCGGTAAATCTATGCCAAAACTCAAAATCAATCGTGATGAATGACTTAAAACTGCACCATTTAGAGTCTAGCACCAAACGACTGGCCAATGATAGTAGACTGGAAAAAAAGTCGCTTGGATGTAGAGTCCAGACTCTTATAACATTGCCAAGAAAAAATACTCTCGACTCAATCGAATTTTTGCTTGGATCGAGAAACCAGCCTCTTAATTTTAGCGGATTTCCTTTTGATTCAAGCAAAAATCCGATTGTACCAAGAGTATTTTTTCTTGTCATTGTTTTCAAGAGTCTGCGGACTCCAGATCCAAGCAACTTTTCTCTTCAGTGAGCTTATGTAGCCTCTGCATTTTACGTCGTTTTCCGAGCTGAAATCGCAGAGAAGCACGTTGCGCAGCGTTAGCCCATCTTATTATCATATTTTGTTGTATACTGATAATCGAATGGTTCAGCCTTCAAATCCCGCTAACAACATCGCCTTTTTGCCAATTAGTGGTGTTGTGATCGAGGATTTTTTTAGTCGCTGTTATGCAATTTGTGCATTTCGGCAGGTAGTGTGCCCATTAATCAAATTGACCTCACACTTGTCAATCAATTTCTAAATATTGTGAAACAATAGCCATTGCCATTAAGTTTGGTTACTGGATGGATCTTTTGATCCATCTTGATGGGCAGATCTTGTTGGATCTTTGGACTTGATCCATTTTAGTTAGAGTATAGGTTTTGATGTGCAGTTTAAAGCAGAAAACAAGGAACCTTAGGAAGGAACATACCTAAGACCTAAGAGTGTTATCTATGCCTTTCCAATCAGCACCTCTCAAAGTGTGCAAAGAGTCGCAGCACACCCAGGGTGTCTACAAGTCCGAAAATAGCACTGATTTTTTAAGGGCGGTCCAGAAGTCCTAAATAAGTGCACAAATTCCGCAAGAAGGCCCGGAATTTTTCCATGTTTTGGTAATTTTTGTCGCAATTTGAGCGAGAAATTTAAATTTTTGCAGTTTTTCAAATTTTGCCAAATGAAGATACTGGTAAATTACTGATTTTTTCTGTTGAGGAGGTACTGAATTTCTTGGGAATGTAATTACTGAAAAAGTACTGTAAAATTACTGATTTTTGGCCAGCCTGTTCTAGTAGACACCCTGCTCAGTAAAGACATGAAAAAATGAAGAAGAATTTATCAGCTAGGTTAATCCATTCTGACAACGTTGATTTGCTAAGATTCATTAGTTTAAATGACTCGAGGTGAAGTTCAGCTCAGCCTACACCGACACGTGTCAAAAAACTTGTTATGTAGTCAATGTGTTCATAAGTGCCTCTCGGTCCGGGGTTCGAGTCCCCCTAGAGTGCTTGATGCGGCTGAAAAGTGAGTGATAAGAGGAATCTCAAGGGCAGATCATCAACGTCGGTCTGGTTATCTCGTGCCTTCTATCATTTCCTCGTTTTGCACATGACATTGATACTGCTCTAATTAGGGGTTTCGTCCCTCAACTGCTAAGGAATTTTCCGAAAAGAGCTTTGTTTTTAACTGCATTATCTGGATTCCCGAATCCTAGCACTCTTACATTCAATTTTTCCATTAAATGTCTCAGAATTGAAAACGTGATGCTAAAAAGTCGTTTCGCATTACTTTGCAAACCTGCACCTGGTTGGAATTGGCGAAATGAACTAATCAATAAATTATTTATTTATTTGTTGTATTGAAAACGTGCGTGCGTAATTTTTACTTATTTTAAGCAAACCCTGGTAAAAATTGGCGATAGGAGCTGCGTTTCAAAATACCATAGGAGTTCTTATAGCCGACTGAAGAGGGGGATAGAAAACCATATAGCTGGCTATAGAAAGTGGAAAAAATCATACGACCGGGCTACACGAAGCGATAAAAAATTATACAGCCGGGCTATAGTTCCTACCGCCGGGCTTTACACTTTATCGCCTGGCTGTTGCTTTTTCACCATCGGCTATAAAAGGCTATAAGAAATTGAGTAGAAATTCTTTTGCTTTGTAAATCCTTAAGTTTGTACGGAATCACCTTAATACTTACAAAACGCACATTTTATTTTCCTTTACTACATATTGTTTTTCATCAATTAAAATGAGAATAATCCATGCAGAGTGTGCAAACATTTCAAAGTCATGAGTTGAAAAACACTGACTCCGCTAGATTAAATATTAGAGCTTAACACAAAGCGGAGCGGCGGCGCACCGGCGCCTACAAACCTAACAGGGATACTTCACGCATTGCGCAATGCGTGAAGTATCCCTGTTAGGTTTGCAGGCGCCAATGCGCGCTCAGCGCTGGCTGCCCGCCCGCCCCAGCGTGCCGCGGCGCTTGAAGCAACTATTATTTCACACCAGAGGTATTGCCTAGTATCATATGAAATTGAAGGCGCGCCAACATATTAGGAATGTCAGGCATCCCTCAAAAGAACGGAGCTTTCCTCGCAAATTAAATCAAGATACTGCGGCCCAAAAAGAGAGCGGTAGTCCAAAAACTCACTAAGTCCTAGCACCCGTAATTAGTAACGTTTACCAGACACTTTATCGCCAGGCTGTTGCTTAGTCGCCATCGGCTATGAAAGGCTATAAGAAATTGTGTTGCCGGCCGTAGAAGCTATTGGAAATCTTACAGCCGGCTGTAGGTCTATGGTATTTTGGAGCACAGATTCTACTGCCAATTTTTACCAGGGAAGGTACAATTAAATCGTCAGACTGTCAATGAGCCTCCACCGTCCATCTCATAATGTCTCGAGCATTTTGATTATCCTCTCGTCGTATTGATATCTCTTTTCTAAGGTGACTTTGTTTTGCTACGGCACCTTCGAGCAGAATTCACTCATCAACCATTCTTTTAAAACAATAAATTAAAAAAATCAAAGATTATATCCTTGGAATTTACTTTTCAGTGCGTGTTTCTGTTACCCGCTCTCAGAGAAAATGCATATTTTCATGATGTTTTTTCTTCCTCTTGCTGACATTCAACCCTCAAAGATAGGTCAAGAACGCCAAAAATCGCCGATATAGAGGGTTGTGAATTTGCCATGTCTGTGAATTGATTCTTTACCTCTAGCATCTCCTCTGATGTTTAATTTTTCGTTCCCTTGTTTGTTTCAGTATGGGACTGAGGATCCCTCGCACGAGGACTCCAAATCGCAGAAAAGTGATCTCATTTCGAACAAAAGCATGACTGCGCTACCAACGTCCTGCAGCCGAGACGGCCATTCATCTAGCGTAAGTTCTCTAAATCAAAGTATTTAATTACCCCCAATTAAACGCATAACCGTTGATTTTAACGCATAGGGTTTAAACCACTTAACCGTTTTCCATGCTTTGAATTAAGAAAAAATTTCTGAAATCTGCGCTTTTTTTGGTTTTTTGCCAGGGTCGGATGTAATGGGGTACCTATACTTTGTTTAAAGTGTACCCATTTCTTTCCTTCGTCCCTGTTTATGGGAACTCTTAAACTGACAGCGCCCCCCCCCCCCCCCCNCCCCCCCCGATGAATACCATCATGGAGATGGCATTCTCCGCCAAAAATTATGCTTTACGTTTTTCTACAGAACCAACAACGCCCGGAGGATGACGATATGTGGAGGAACCGCAGAGTAAACATGAAGTCAGTAAAAATGAGTGAGAGCACTAAATAAAATTTAATTAATGAAAATAAGACTGTGAAACCGGATGTATAAGAAAAAAAAAATGTCTTTGATCTTTTATCCTTTCTCTGTTCGTTCATTATGGCATATTCGACGAACGTGCATTTTCTACCACGGGATGTTTCTAGCTCTACAATCAAACATGAAAGCGCATAATAGCTCAAGTAATTTAAACAAGTTCAAACCATCATATCAGGTTTATATATCTTCGCACCCAATATGCAAAATTTCGATACAAAATCGGTAGAAATCAAAGAATGTTCCAGAACTTGGTACCGCAACTTTTGTGTATTCTTTTACACATGTTAACGATTATTGGAAAATCCAATCTTTTACCCTGGAAAAACTAATTTGCCCACTTGCTGTTATTCTAGAATTACCTTTTTACCATCAGTTTTGTTTTCTTTTGCGCAATTCATCTCGCGTTTCATCTCGCCCCCGACAACCACGCTGAAACGTTGCGCCGGCTTTGCCTCCGAATTTGTCATTTAAGCTACGCGTTTATCAGGAAGTAGGTAATTATTGCTCTCCAATTTCGTGTTCAGACGAAGATAAGGGGTAATTATACCCATCACGACACCTAATGTGACCCGAACCCCAAACTAGAATAATTTGTCATTTTCGTGTAGGTCAGTTCACGTTTATCAATTAATTAATATGTGATTGCTCTTCGCCTTAACGCTCCTTTCCCCTCTCTGTCTCAATTTGTTATTCCGATGTCACTGACGCCGTGGTGGCGCCCGAAATTTGAGTTAAGAAGCTTTCAACAAGGAAAGTTCATCAATAGGCCGTCGGACACGGTTGCCAAAGAGCTTTCCGTAAACAGTACGTCTTTCGCTTCCTATTTAGCGGTGGATAGATTCGAATCGAATTTCAGTGTAAATGAGTTTTCATATTATGAGAATATCATTGTACAATGTCTAGAAAAACTTAATAATGCGAGAAAGTCAGAGATACAAAGCGAAGAGGAGGGGTAAAGTTTTTCAGTAGAGAGAGAGGATTTCAAAAGGTGCAGTTGATGAAGACCTCACGACGTGATGATTCTCAGACCGTTTTTTGAAAGGGGTGGATATCTCCATTCGTGTGCGGAGAAAAGCGTTTACTTTGAAAAAAATCTTATCAATGAATGCTATCATGAAAACACGATTTTTTTTTTACCCATTCTACCGACCTTTATTTGGACCGCGCTAACCAGAAAAGAACCAAGCCTCATGAGCTATTGCCAAATTTAATTGTGCAATTTAATTGTTTACATAAAAACGATTGTGCTGATTTTTGTGTAAATTCCAATGAATTTTCTGCCTAGTACGAAGCAAATTCGTTAAAATTTTGCAAGGAATCTGCACAAACGTTCTCTTGTAAAAAATTAAATTGACCCGTTAAAGCCAATATAGCTGACGTGGTTTGGTTCCTTTCTGCCAAATGCACTCCATTTCACCAAAATACCTGCAATGGATGACCGCATCGTCCTCCAGAATTCCGGTAACTATATAAATACTTATTTCAGCACAATATGGCTGTGAGGGTGAGATTGTTTACTGCTTCTTGGTTCTTGTGAATTGCCCTCCATTTCGTTCATCTTGTGAGAACATGAATGCAAATTAATTTGAAGAAGGGATAACGAGAGCTCCCCAGCGTTGTCGCATCTCCGTGGTGTCAGTCAAGATCTGGATCATTCTACTCGAGCTGAGTGGGATGCTGGACGGAGCGGAACGAGATTAGAGTCCCTTTATACCCAGAGTTAAGACAACTCGATTATCAGCTGACTGGCAGCCGGCCTTGGCTGGCCATGGAGGCCGAAACGAGTGCACCCGAACGAACGATATTGAGGGAAAAGGATCAGGAATCCTGCGATGTCTGTCACACTAAAACAACAACATCAACAAATTGATCAATCAAAAAGAAAATGAGATTGGTTTGTGAATAATTTCTTAATCTATTTTCATTTTGGACCAATGGAAATAACAATTTACTCTTGATAAACCACAATTAGGTAATATTTTCATTATTCTTGTTCACATTCGAGGTACCGCCATCTTGGTGCACTCGTTTCGGCCTCCATGAGCGAGAACCAATCAGAATTGGATTTTTTTTTAGGCCACTTTCAGCCCAACCAAAAGTGAGTTGTCTTAACTCTGGGTATAAAGGGACTCTAAACGAGATGACTGCGTCGTAGATACTGAAGGCCCATGAAGGAAGCCCCAACTTGGAGCGTGTTGTGTTATGATTGTGCTTGTNGGGGGGGGGGGGGGGGGGAGAGGGGTCATTACCGTCGACCGATAAACTTGATAGAAAAGTTCACCGACTCCCGCCAACCGGTCACGGGGTCATCCCAGGAACTAGCAATCGCTTATCCTCCCAAGTTGTCATGTCTTAAACGATTTTTAAGTATCTGCGCTGTTGCATTATTTTCGTCCGTTTGTTTAGCCATCTTCTCACGTGTTTCCTTTCACGATCGTTTAGTTTTGCCTGTGTGTGAGGGTGTATGTGAGAGTGGCTTTTTTTATGTATTTGAATTTATATTTTGGAGGAACTGAATGATTTCAAAGATTCGGGACCCCAAATTCGAATGTGCCCCCACTGCCCCCCCCCCTTTAGTAAAAATATTTTTTTCAAAGAAAGTTTCATTCTTTTTCCTTACATTTCCCCGAAACCCTGGATGAAAAAACGAATAAAAAATTTGGCGGAAAAACTTCCCAAGTTACCCTAAAAATTCGTATTTTATCCTAGAAAATTGACAACGTCCATACGGCGTTTTTGGAACGGTAGCTTTTATTTCTTGCTCACCTTCTCACCCACGCCTGTCTCATGGATGATTTAATATTTTAAGTCCCCTAACTTACTTCTGTGATATTTCGGGGGGAGGGGCACTTAGAGCAAGGATTAACAAATTTTATGTACATACAAGGTAGTACAAAAAAAAAGCACTCTCCAAAAATATGCTGATAAAAATTGCATTACGTCTCATTTCGTTTGTCGAATAAGATGATCCAAAAATATGCTGATAAAAATTGCATTACGTCTCATTTCGTTTGTCGAATAAGATGATGGTAGGTCTAGACGTTCTAAACAGAATATCTGTCCCGATTTCAACTTCAACCATTTGTTTCTTTTTTTACAGAACAAATGAGGTCCTCGACCTTTTATCCGTGGTAAGCCACCTGCTAATGTTTCATCTAGTCATTTTGCTGCATTTTCATTTTTTTATTGTGGGTAAGAGCCTTGTTACGTTTCCGGAACAAAAAATGTTGCTGCAGCCCCAGTGGAAGTCGGACCAATAAAATTTTTCGAGGCTGAGGTCGAGGCACTTTCACACGCGTGGGTTCTCAAAAGGGTTGCCAGTTTGAACGCGCAAACCAGATTTTCGAGTAGCGTAAGCTCATAAGGTCTAATTCCATCCAATAAAGAAACTTTAAGTACGTTGTCTCTAATATTTTTAAAGGGAAAGCATTGATAGTTAAGTTACTACTTCACTCACAGTCTCTCTGTTCGTCGTTAGAGTGTTGCAGCGCATGTAAAGACTGTCCGGTGTGATGAGCAGATTTCCAAAAGGCATTCAAAGTAAACCGTGAGTGCGTCTTAGAAAAAACCATCCACTATGTATAATGGAGTTTTTTCCCGAGAAATGAAAGAAGAGAAGGATGAGACTTAATTTTAAAATATCGCTCCGCATCGGCAAAATGCATTCCGTATCATTTTGACGTGGTAATATGGGGAAGGTATGCTCTGAAATTCGTCAGATGCATGCCAACAATAAAAAATGGTCAAGATACGAAGATATAATTCTATTCTCTTTTTTTACGGTCGTAGCGATCAGTGAACATATATTTTGTGACAGGTCATTGAAATTATCTTTACCAATTTAAGAGGAACTGAAAGATGAAGCAAGAAGAGCCACAACCGCAGAAGGATATGCAAAGCGAGAGTTTTATCAAAGGTTAATAATAAGACTGCGGTCGAAAACAGGGGCTGTCTCAAAAAATTTTAGATATTGCCCCTGGGGATAAGTTGACCGTATATCAGTCAGCGACCATTCCTTAACCTCTAACATTTTATCTCATCAAATTGTCTTCTTTCTTTTGAGGGTATGCACTGAGAATTTCATGAAAAGCGCTGGTCGAAGTCGATTTTCCTTTACAAAACTCAAACGAAATTCAAAATATTGAAATGATTTTTTTTCCTACCTCCACATGCAGGGTGTCTGCAAGTGCGGAAAAAGTACTGATTTTGAAAGGGCGGTCCAGAAATACTGTAAAAGTGCGGAATTTCCGCAAGAGGGTCCGGAATTTTTTTCATTTTTGTCGCAAGTTTGAGCGAGAAATTCAAAATTTTGAAATTTTTCGAATTTCGTCAAATGGAAGTACTGGAGAAGTACTGAATTTTTCTGTTGAGGAGGTACTGAATTTCTTTGGAATGTACTGGAAAAGTACTGTAAAAGTTCTGAATTTTGGCTAGCCTGTTCTAGTGGACACCCTGATCTGACATTCAATGTACCATAAAACGGATCTTGTGTATTCTGACTTCTTAGCTAGGCAACGCCGATAGGACTGTCGGCAAGTGCCAAGACACAAGATCGGTTCTAGAAGACCCAGGCCCAGGATTCCAGGTGAAACTTGCCGAGTTGACGTCCGTCGCGTCGCATCCGCAGGTGAATTGCCGCGCGCCGCGCCGGCCGCGGTTCGGTTCGGTTGATAAGGTCCGAGGGCCCCCGGGGGTGGGGGAGCGGGGGGCGCCAGTGAGAGTGAATCTCGAATTGTGTCAAATTAGTTGTGTGCCGTTGCCGCTTGCTTCTGGTTCTTAGCCCTGTTGCCACGCTCGGGGGAAAATCCTCATCTCCGACCCATATTTAGTTCAATGAAAATTAGACTTATAGGCTCTAATAGTTGAATTTTGAAGTCCCGAAAGTGCAAGCTTCCATCATTGCCAAGGAGTAATGGAGAGTCTCCTGTCTCTGATAAGCACTCAATATTAACAGGGTTGCCACAGTCAGGGAAACTCGGGAAATGTTAGAGGATTTCGAAAAGTCAGGGAAAATCTGGAAACAGGGAAAAATCATCAAATCACCTTCATTTGCATTATCGAGTGGGTTTGACGTTCCAAACAACACATTTTGCCTGAAAACTATATTTCTAACTATTTCTTTTTAACAATCTGGCATATGTTCAATTATCATGGAATTTCACCAAAATGTGTCAGGGAAATGTCAGGGAATTTAATTTTCCAAATTCTGTAGCAACCCTATGTAACAACAGCCCCCAAACCCGGAGATTTTCCCTGAAAATAAGCTGGAGGTTTTAGAACCATTTCTTGCTTCCTGTCCATGATTTTGAACCAAATAAAACATTTTACCGGAAGAAGTTCGTCTGCGAAGTATATACTCTGTGAAGCAGGCGACTCCGCCCCCTTGCCGCTATGCGGCCCACCCCCCGGGGCGCCGCGTGCCTTTGGGGTTTCCCCATAGCTTCCCACTCAACGGACTTTGAACTCCCCTTCCTCACCCCAGTCCATCGACTGTCCTACCCCCCTTCCTCACCCCGTCCATCGAGCGTCTTAAAAATGATAGTTTTAGAATAGAGAGTATATCTGAAGTGGTAATTTTTGAATTTTGTTTGTTGCAGTGCGTGCACCCGGTGTCGGAGCGGCGGCTGAAGAACACGTTCGGCTGGGCGCGGATCGAGGTGTTGGTCATGCTCATCGTGAGCGTTTTCCTGGCCTCGCTCTGCTTCTCGCTCATCGTGGAGTCGGTGCAGACGCTCATCCACATCGGGCACCACGACGAGATGCACCACCCGATCCAGGTCCTCTCCGTCGGCGCCGCCGGGCTCCTCCTTAACGGCATCTGCTACCTCCTCATCGGCGGCTACACTTTCCACCAGGGCAGCTATCTCCACGTCACGGCAAGCGGAGACATAGTCCTCCAGAAGAAGGCGAAGAAAAGTGGTGCCGAGGGCAAACAACCCTCCTCGAGGCGGAAGTTCGTCTCCGCCGGCCCGATCATGGCGCCGCCCAAACGCCAGGGACCCTGGGAAGTCTGTCGAGACATCATAGGCAAGTGACGGTAACTCCTGCGTCTTCATCCCATAAGCCCTGGATAGACGGTCGAATTCCCGAACCAATTCCGATCAAAGTAGCATCAAAGTGTCGGGAGTCATCAGTCTTAAACTCATTAATTTGCTTCATTTTAAAATGAAAACTTGGCGGAAATGTTTCCTGTGGCAGGAAATGATGAATGGTGGCACTCCATTCTGATCTTACTTCGAACAAATAAGTGCGGCCCGTCAAAATTTGATGGTAGATGGTGACTATCAGTCATCAGCATGTCCACTTTGGTCGGAATTGGTTCGGAATTTGATCGTCTATTCAGGGCTATATTTGTTCATCAGGAAGAAACCAACCCACATTTCCGAAAAAATTGAGGCAACTCGGAGAAAAAAACTTCGTGCGTGGGACCCGAAGTTGAGGTCATATGGGTCTCTGAAGTTTTCGGATCAAGTATCTAAAATTTTGAGGTCCAGCTACCGAAGTTCGGGTCAGACATCTGAAGTAGGTACTTCGATATGTACTGAAGGGTTCAGGACTTGCATCTGAAGTACTCCGGTACATACCGAGGTGCCTCGATGTCTGACCCGAACTTCGGCTGCTCGACCTCAAGTTTTCGGATGTGTGATCAGAAAACTTCAGAGATCCATATGACCTTAACTTTGGGTCCCATGCACGAAGTTTTTTTCTCCGTGAAGAATATTTTTGGGTTCCACTAGTCGTGTATATTCCCCTGCCAAAAACTCAAAATCGAGAAAGAAAAAATAGTATGTGTCAAGAGGGGTTGAAGTTTGTTTTCTACATTGGGCCTTATAGAGAACTAAAACTTCAAACACCCTTTTCTCAGTTTCAACTGCATGCGGTTTGGTTCCATTCTGTTAAACTCGGTCCAGTTACCCCTGGACAATTAATCTGCAAATCCACATTAACAACCATATGTGTTGTAGCGTTTTCGTGAAAAATTCAAGTACGAAAAGTATCGGAGTCCAAGTGAAATTATTCTGTCCCTATACGTATGCGTTAAAACTCATATTCAATGTTTTTTTTTTGAGGGGGGAGGGGTTACAAAAGCATTCAATATCGAGTAATGCCGCGTTCATTGTTGGTGAACGTTCTCGAGAATCGATTATATTTTGTCTGTATACTTGGGGTAGCTCGTAAAATACGTAACGCTGAAAAATCCGATTTGTTACTCCTCTCCTCACCCCGTTACATGTGTTTGTATTTTCCAAGAGAATTAAGCAACATTTTGTTCCAAACCCCTCCCCCCTCCCTCAAATTTACGTTTTATGATGAGTCTCGCATCGATTTTTTATCCTAATTTTCGACAAATTATCGAATGTGCCGATATCGACGTAACGTAAACGTCGACTCGGCTGGACTGCTCCCCCCCCCTCCCCTGTGAAGCACTCGTAACGTAGACTCAGACCTTCCCCCACCATACCTCCATAACACTTAATTTTACAAAGGGTACCTTAGCTTTCATTTCATGGAATTATAGAGGAAGTATTCTTCATATTTTATCGCAATTGCTACTTTTGTATCAAAATCCTACCTGCCGGGTAATAAAAGGTAGATTTTATCAAAATCGTCGGCAATGTACTCAGCACTTGCAATATTATATGCTGTGGTGCTACAAGACTGGAGGAATACTTAACGCGTTGCGCCAAACACAGTGTGGTCGGTGTGTCACGTATATCAGCGCCTACAAGAGTGCAAGAATACTTCGCGCATTGCGCCAAACTTGCAGTGCGGTCGTCGGTCGCTGCTGGTCGGCGCGTACCGCTTATCAGCGCCTACAATTGAGTCCAGGAATACTTCACGCATTGCGCCAAACGCAATGCGGTCGCTGCTCGCTGGTCGGCATGAAACTCATAGTAGGTTGAGCCATCGGACCTGCAAGTAGCTCAAACCGCGTGAATGCGAAAAGGAGGGAATTATCATTTTGTCCGCATATTTTTTTTCATATTTAGAGCGTAGCAACCAAAATCTTATAAAATTTCTCAAGGAAGAGCTAATATGTGTCCTTATTCTTCTTGCAGGTTGTGTCTTTGTGATGATCTGTGCTGTTACTGTTTACTTCTCTGATCCAAAGACAGCCAAATACATTGATCCAATTTTTTCAATTATCTCTGCCGTATTACTTTTAATACTAAGTTACCCTTACAGTAAGTATCACCTTAGAAAAATCAGTTTAAATAATTAAATTGATAATAATAATTAAATTAGATACCTAATTTATTACTTTTTTTAAATACTTCTCTGTAAATTAAATTGCAGTTAAAGTCAAGAAATCCAAGGTACGTTTGCAAGAGGCACCCAAGTTACCCATCAGTGTAGTGTAAGGTACCCAATGTACCCTTTTTTTACTGCAGAAATTTTTCTTTTTTCTTCTGTTTCAAAAGTCCCTCTTTGTCCCTCTGAGAAATGAGTCATCAGAAGGAGCCTTTGTTATCACAATTTTTATTACATACTTGTCGTATTTAAATGCAAGGTGTTCTTTTCTAATCAGCTTGAGCTAAAGCCCTCATCAGCTCATCAAGATTCAGTATGCCTTGCTTCTTACGTCCCATTATCAGGGGCCAACTTATAAGTTTCGGTTACATGAGCTGCAGCCTATGTCAGAAAATAGGAAGGAAGGAATGCAAAGTTACAAATTCACGGACGAGAGGAGTAGATTTCAAGAGTCTTCTTTTTTCTTCTCCTTTTCTTTTAATTCTGTGGGTCTGCTTTGTAAAACCATGATACAACAAAAGAGAATTATGCCCTGACAAGATGTGAGGACAGCAAATTTTTGTTAACCACAGGCAGCCATATCCCATTCCATGGGCACTGATAAATATGCTTCTGCCTGTGACTGCTTCAGGTAAAGCTCCTCTGAATCGATTTCTTAATAAAGTGATATATTGTCTCATGATCGGTCTACTAGGAAGGTCTAATTTTCAGTTCTTCTCAGCACCATTTTTTTTTTACGGTTATAATGACTTTAACTGGTGTATCTTGTAACAAATTACATTTTAAATAAACTTTTGATTAATCTCATTTGTCCTTTAATTTTTTTTTCAGTGAAGGAATCCTGTTTGATTCTTCTACAAACTATTCCAGATCACATCAATATCGACTCATTGTGCACGCAACTTCATAAAGCATTTCCAGACATTCTTAATGTTCATGATCTCCATGTATGGCAATTAACGGCCAACAAGACTTTCTCTACTGCTCATATGATTTTTGATAGTCCTGTGGTATGTACCAATATTTTAACCATTCACTGTTCATAAGTTGATGCAAAGGTTTTATGAAATACCTAGCGCTGTTAGTCACGGTTTACCTTTGTGATTAGAGGAGTATTAATCTCTAGGGACTTTTAAGATTCTTGCTTATTAGTTCCTAGTTTTTTTCCTCTTTTTACTTATAAAAATAATGATTATGGTCATGACCACAATAAGTTTACCTGACCATCCACAGTTAAAAAAACCTTAATCTATGGTGGCAAAATTTTCAGTACCTAGAGCAATTTTTGTAAAGTTTATTTGGAAATTAGGATCTTGAGATTTTGACAGAAAACTCTGTTTGGTCTGGAAAGTAACCTGCAAACTTATTTTCCACTTTGGTGCTTAATAGAGAAAAAGTTGTACTATCATAATGCAATTCCTTGCTCTGTGGACGTGCCAGAATAGAATTTAAACAACTTTCTATCCAAACTTATGATTATTTAATTGCAAAATTCAAACCACCACATAATTTTCAGCTTTGTTGTGTCGGAAAATGTCCATAGAACATAATGCCATGCTTTGGCACCAATAACCATCACTGGACCTCTCAGTGGTCACATATTTTCCATATATCATTTAAAATTTTTATTCTAAGAATTTTTTGACAGTTAAAAAACCAGTTTTAAAAAGTCATAGCTCTGATAACTCCACACTGCCTAAATGAAATCAATAGTAAATTTTTTTTCAAGTTCACTGGAGAAGTGACTCATAGGCATCTAACATGTTTCAATAAAAATGCATTAAGTGTAAACTTAAGGCCGAATTTTTTATCGATTCCTCCTTTTCTTTGTCTGCCTTCAGGTATACTCACGCATCAAAAAAGAACTCATGGAATTCTTTCATGAGCAAGGTGTCACCCAAGTAACAATTCAACCAGAATTTTTTAAAGTAAGTGATTTCTCTCTTCAACTTTATTCATTATTGTTTTACGTTTTCTGTTTTTTTCCTCCTTTCCTCTTGTCTCTTTTTTGTTATAGATGTTTACAAATGAAAAAAATACCAAATATCTATCTGTAGAAGAAGAAAAAATCTAATCCGTTCTACATCTTTGAAAATTAATACCAAGAGGCACAATATACCTACATCTCTCAAAAATATAAAAAAAAATCAAAAACCAAAGCTTCAGGAAAATAGCTAATTCAAGGCTGATAGTCCATTTTTGCATTTATCAGGTGTACATGGTGGAAAATATGATGAAATGTTTCCCTGCAGAATTTAAACTGTAAGTAAATAAGATTTTTAGAGAAAATGTTAAAATGTTTTTATAATGAGTGGCATTAATCATAAAATATAAGGACAGAATTCAGGATCTAAAACATGGACCATGAATCCAACGATTCTCATACCTGTCATCTTATGATTCCAGGACATTAACAGTATCGATTTGATCTCTGGTTTTGGTGCTGGTCAATGTTTAGTTCAATGCAATGATGAGGAATGCTACAAACGCGCATGCTGTCTAATGGATGATGAGTTGCAGCAAGTTGTCTCCAAAAGTCCCAAGGTGAGAGCTTTTGCACTTGAGCTTGACTCCACAAGCACTTATTTTTAATTTTCGGTTTTTTTTTTTTTTCATTTTTTTTCATTTCCTCCCTAAAGAATTAGTTAAGAAAATTAAGGATTTCATTTAGCTTTCATAGGTAGGAAAGCCTTTTGGTAATCACTGTCTTATTTTCCAGGATTTTCAGAGAAGAAATGAAATACTAATTTGTGATGAATTAAAATAACCCTAATCCAACATGACAGCATGGAATCATAAATTGAGTCCCGACTGGCCCCCAGAATTCCACTCTGCCCCCTTTAGAAAATGAAAGGAATTTTGCAAAATAACTTTGGTACATTTTGTTCATCACAAATGTTACCTTAATAAATGTTTCGGCAAGAATGGCTCAAAATTGTTCCTCTAAACTCAATTTCAAAAATTTTCTAGAGAGGTCCCTCTTAGAACTCTGAGAATACCCCTAAACCTTTTTGGTGGGGACTCAGACCCCTGTGCTACCGAGATTCTTTTTGATGAGACGTCTTTTTGAACCCCCCCCCACACACACACACACACACACACCCCCCGAAAATGCCTAGTTCTGCCCATGTCTTACAATCTGTTTTAAGTATGTCCATAATTCTAATACATAATCTGCAAAAAACCTGAGAAATGAAACCATTCGATGATTTTCATCAATTAATTTTGGGGGTCTTAAACTATTTGATATTAGGGGAAATGATAATATTACCCGAAGAAGAAGAAGAAAACAAAAACTGCTCCCAGTCAAGTTTTTTAGTTCCAATAACCAACCGGTAATCATTTTTTTTTTTAATGCTAGGACTTGCTAAAATGCAGTAATCAATTACTATATTTTAATTATCTACTTTGCTTGTTCAAAATTCTAAAATGATTGACCAGAAGTATTACAGACCAATGTGTTAAACGGATATTTTTCCCTTCCAGGTGTCGCCAAGGAATTCCTCTATCAATGGATCTGTCAAGCCTGTCAGTGAAACTGGCAAGAAGTGCTGTGGACAAACATGTCATGGAAGTTCAGTTGTCCCCACCGTTTCAGATGGGAACAAGAAGACTTCACCTTGCCTCAAGATTAACTCTGATCAAAATGCTGATCAAACTGCAGTTGTGAGTTTAACCAAAACAGACATAAATGCAGTGAATGTGAACAGCCAGGAACAATCAGTGCTAAGCCAGGACAAAACTTCAGTGGAGGGTGAATCCCCAGTTACAAATGCTGAAAAAAGTTGTTGTCAGAAATCTGTATCCTGTCACAATGATGTAAGCGCAGAAAATATCTGTTCAGTTGAAATCAACCAAATTGATCCTGATGAAATTTCAAGCGAAAGGCAATCAACTGGCAGTGATTGCTGTCAGGATGAGTCAGACTCGGCACAATTATGTTCTTCACATAATGTCTCCATTGTAAAGGAAAAATCAACCAAGAGTGATAAGCGCCCAAAAAATGACGAGCAAGTCACGTAGTAGATGTATATTTTTGACTGATTTTTATCTATAACAAACAAGTGTTGCTATTTTTTGAGAGTTTGGCTGCCTTTGACTGGCTCATCTATGTTGACATGCTAAATAGAAGTAGCCAGAAAGAATTTGGCTGTGCCAAAAGTCATATTCATGTTAGAGTTCTGATGGGACAAAATGATGTCAATGAGAAGGCTTGTGACACTAAAAGCTGTTATTTTCCAAGAATCAGGAAAGATGGATCATTTGACACGTAAACTACCCAATACATAGAACATAAAGATTTATACTGTTCTTAGTACAACATTTAACCATTTGACTCACTAGCTGTTATCAACGTTTTTTGTTTTTTACTCGACTAATTAGTAGAAAGTCACAGGAAGTCAGAACCTTTTTAAATGGTGAAATCAACTGAGGAAAGAAAATTCTATTGACCGAAATCGAAGTACCTACTTGTTTTATTTCTAATGTGCTTTAAATTTTTGCTTGTATTTTAATTTTATATACAGACCGTGAGCTTGTTTTATTTTGAATTATTCATGGTAACTCTTTGCCATTTGATGATTAATTTTTGTCACCAGGTGCATAGGGAAAAAAATTGCCCTCTTTTCTTTCTCAACTATTAAAGCTGAATAAAATTATAAACTATAGCCAGCGCCTCACCTGTTTTTATCATTCAAGGAATTTTTTATCTCTCACTTTTTGCCGTAATTTGTCTTCCTATACCATATCCTGAGTAGGTGTGGTAAGACTGACAATAAGTACCTACACAAAGTTTTAAAAGTAAGAGCTTGTTCTCAAATTGGATAAATCATTGATTGATAAACTCTATGCTACCAAATCACCATCAATTTTTAGAATATAGGTAATGTATCATACAGGACAATGAAGAGCCTAGTTTTCTGATTATTGAGTCAGGAAATCTGTGAAAAACTAAAAGATAAAGGAATACTTACAGATTAGATGCATAGTTTTGAGTACATGCCTATTAGGAAATCAGGAATGTTTGCCTCTTGTTTTTGTTTCTTTTTTCTACTCAACTGTCGTGATATTATGCGGTAATCCTCTTGCAGCTTCAAGTAGATGAATAAAATCTAGACCACACATAATATGAGTTGAGCTTTAGAGCTTTTTTACATATTTGTATCAAATAATCTACTCTTCACAAGTATTCAAATTGAGCAGGCAATTCATGTTAAGTAGGTATGTTATATGCAACTGAGTTTTAGACGGGTTTATAATCTGTATTAATTTGAACCAGAAGTTTGCACTCTCTAAACAACACACAGTCTAAAAACTTTAAGAAAATTAAGGAAATTATTTAATAATTGAAAATAAAATTTTTGAACCGTACCTAACGAAATGCTGTTTTTTTCAAGATGTTTTAATGAAAGCTGTTTCTAAATTTCAAACAGCATTGTACAACTTTTATCAATTCTATTCAGCAGTGTCAATTACCGTTTCTCTAGTTTGAATTTCAACTGTTTGTGTACACAAGACCTTTGTTAGGTAGGTAAATACTAAGACTTTGTGATTTTGACTATTCTTTCTGTTTACTTTATGTGGTACAATGTTATGTAGCCAACATTTTTTGTATATTTTTTGCTCAAATAGCTTGTTTAAGGCTCCTTTTTAAGGGAAATGTTGGTATGAGGAACTGCAGCCGTTTAGTAAACTCATTAAGTATAATGATCATTTTCAGCAGGTGTAAGGATATTGTATATCATTGACTGCTGCAACACGGAAGAAATGTGTCGAAAATAAGCTCTATTCAGCGATTCTGAAACAGATCTTGTTTGATGGATGATTGGTTGAATGGCCAAAAAGTAGCAAGTATCTGTCAAACACTCAGTAGGAAAGCCATGTAAATTATATCATTAGGTACCATATGCAAGAAAAATCTGTTTGTACTACTCTCAGCATTTGGTCACGCATTACTTTCTTGATAATATACACCTCCATGTATAATTTTAGGCCCTGTTTTTTGTTTCCAACAAGATTATTAAGCCTTTATTTAACACAATCCAATGTCCAACCACAACTTGTAATTTTTTGCCGCACAATGAACTGTTCCATTGGAACTACACAGCTGCTTATACCATGATCTCAGGTCAGCTTTACAGTTCACTTAGCAGTTAGAACATTTGTTTTTCCACCTGCCTTTTTCTTCTAAAAAGTCAAGTTTATTGTAATGATTAAGATTAGCTATTGAGGAGGATTTTTAACAAATAACAGAAAGCGTAAGTGGAACCCAGTCAGTGTTAGCATTGAAACAACCCAGAACTGCTTACACTTTTTATAATTCTCATCACCTATTTTTGTGTAATTTAAGGAACCAATTAAATTTGTTTTATTGTATTTAACTGTCAATCTGGAGAACACAGTTTCTGAGTTCCCCCATTTTAGGTATGAAATTAATAACAACTGGCAGAGTTTTCAAAGTTTCTGCTGGTTAAATTTTAAATATTTACCGTGAGCACCTGCTAGTACTGGAAAAATTCAAGAGAGTACAAGTATGAAAATATGCTTTTTGAAACAATTTGTAACCTTAAGACAAATTAAAGAACCATTTTTATAAGAAACTCTGCATAATGAAGAAAAAATTAAACAAAAAGTGAAAGTCACTCAAAGGTGATGTCAGCGTATTAATAACGTAATGTACGTCAATAACTAGGTAGTGAGAATTTGTTTAAATTTTAGTATGCAATGACACAAGTGGATGTATTTTTACAAAAACAATCTATCTGTAATGGTTTCTCTTTAAATGATGAACTTCTTCTCCCTACATGCATCCAATTAAGAAACTTCATTTCCACTTTTCTAAAAACTTTCATCATTTTTAGGCAACTGAATTTAAGGTATCTATTTTCCCTATGTAAAAGGAATAAGTGGGCAAATCTTAAATGCTAAAAAATTTAAGATGCCCTTTTCTCACCAATCAATCACAATTTCTGGTTTTTTTCAAAGCTTCCTCTGTAGGTTTTCAAAAAATGAGCTCGATTTTTTGTTACACCTTTGCTTTGAAGTCCCTAGACTTGTCCTTAGTCACTTACTTAGGCAGTATAACTTTTTACCTTTTTCCCTTCTTCTCTAAAACCTGAAAATTGTGCTTAGTGAACAAACTCTACATTTTTACTCAAAAGGCAAAGTTCGTCCTTGTGTGTGTTTTACCCACATTTTATACATTTTGTTTCATGAAAGTTTTATTTTTGAGAAATTTAATTTTGCAACGAAGCATTTACTTTGTACAGTCTTTTGTTAACCTGGAATCTTGAACATTACCAGAGAGCACCAAAGATGAATTGTTCATATCAATGTCTGACTTTTTTTTTGTACTTTCAATTTTTTAAATGACTCTTTATTCTTGAAATGTTATATTCATAAATATAATCAGACAGTGCTTCTAATTTCTACAATTTAAAGTTTCATACGGTGAATTTTGCACTTTCTTAGGTAGGTAATCCAATTGTAATAAAAGATTGCAACTCAAAACCGTCATGTATGAAAAAGATTGGGCGAAAAAGTTGCCTTCAAAAAGAATGAAATTCGTGTCGTAACTTTTTTTAAATTTTAAGTAAGCTTCAGCAAATCTGTGCTCAGTGCTAGGATTTGTTCCCACTGTTTTAACAAAACAGTAGAAAAACAGTAGAGTCCGATATTTTCTCTTAGTCTGTTAATCAGGTGTAGCAGATCACAGCTCAAATGTACAGCGGAAAATGCCTAATTTACAGTTTTACATCATATCTTATAATATAAGAGATCTTACATATGAATAGCTAAACTAAAAAAAAAAACCCAGAACGTTGCCCTGTACATATTTTACCATTGAGCTTGTGTCGCTACCTCTGGTAATGTTCTAAATTTCATTTGTTACATTGACAGTTGTGTCAAGTGCCAAAATACCTCTCTGTATTAAGTTTTAGATTTTTATTGATTTTGTTGTGTTAAGTTTTAGGTTTTATATTTTTTTGCTTTGGAGAATAAAATGTATTTTTGTAATTAAATTTTAAAAATGACCCATTAAAACATTTATAATCACAACTCAAAAACTTGTGCACATTTTTTCTTCAGATCACATTCCCAAATGATTTATGAGGGACCTTAGTGTAATGACTGATGGCACCTTCTGACAACAGAATGTCCTCAATTTATGGTTTCTAAAACAAACTTGCATCATTGAAAATAAGTATAAATATTCTCGTTTTTTGTCAGATCCGAAGAAAAAGGCAGCTCCTGTTGTACCGAGACAAACAGGAAAAAACCACGACACATGAAAATTGACTCAATGTGTGAAGTCCCAGAGTCTCCTCAGAAGGGGCCGTTCATAATAAAGCTAACGTTAAATTTCTGATTTTGTTACCCTCCCCCCTCCCTAATCTCATAACGCTTTTGTGAAGTTGGTCCGTGCCCTTTAACAAGTAAAAAAGGAATTGCTTAACGCTTTCCTTGACACGCCCTTTCCTCTATAACGTTACATATTGAAAGACCCCTAAAACTTTATGTTAGGAATAAAGTTCCACGTCTATTTTCACATTCAAATTATTTTTTCTTGACTTGGAATTTTTTCAAAAGAAAATCTTGGGCTATGAGCATCTGCTATGATCATTGTAAGAAAAGGTTAGCAATAGTCTGTTTGTGCTATGCTTGTGATATGACAAAATTTCTGCAAGTATCTTTTACCGCCCTCAAGCCGCTCAAATTGCCGAACGAAATATTGAAGGCGAAATGTCAATAGGCGTGAAGCATTAAACTGCTACATCCATGAACAAACTGAGTGAACGTTTCCGAAATGCGGCGAGCAACTATTACTGCTCCCAAGTCGCTCATGTTGCCTATCGTGATGTTAAAGGTGCATCTGTCGGAACAAGTTGGAAATAATATGAATGAAGTATTGAGCCGCTACAACTATGAATAAACCGAGTAGACGTGTGTAAAATACTGCGAACAACTATTACTGCTCTTAAATAACCTCCGTTGCCTATCGGCATAGTGAAGGCGATCTGATCTGAACGAGTGAGAATCAACGTGCAGGGAGTGCGCATTCTGCCATGCTAAGGAAGAACGCCGGGTTATAGGACATTTCGTCAACGATTTTTTGTCCGCGCACCTGTTTTTTCCAGTAATTTACGTCCACGCGTTTTTTCGGCACGGAGGTTTTGGTCCACGTGCCAGTTGAAACCCAAAGTCAATTGGTCCACATGTAAATACAAACGACAATTGTTCACGACGTTTTTGGATGAAAATGTATAATGTCTGGGAAGAATGAGGGTTTGCTTGTTTTGTTTTTGGTTGTTTGATCCAACGGAGAATAATATATAATTGAGATTTTTGGTAAAAATGAGGGAGCATAAATTCTATTAGACAAAATTCACTAAAACTCTCTACACCTCTTTGGTGCAACAGGACTTAATTATCTTTCAAGAAATTACCACCTTGTTACACCTGAACCGGATGAACCTCTTGATTTGCCTCAGCTAAAGGCTCTTGGATTTTTCCTCTGTACGATAAGTATCTTGATTTATTTTGCGAGGAAAGATCTGTACTTTTAAAGGATGCATGTCATTCTTAATGTGTTCAATTTCGTATAATACTGTGCAACACCTCTGTTGTGAAATAGTTGCTTCAGGCGCGCCGCCGCGCCGCACGGCGGGCGGGCGGTCAGCGCGAAGCGCGCACAGGCGCCTACAAACCTAAGTGGATACTTCAAGCATTGTGCAATGCGAGAAGTATCCACTTAGGTTTGTAGGCGCCCTCTCGCGCTGGCAGCACGCCGCGTCGCGTCGCTCCGCTCTGCCAGGCTCTAATATTTATACTCGCATAGTCAGCGCTTTTTAACTGATGATTTTGAAATGTTTGCACACTCTGTATTGATTATTCTCATTTAAATTGATGGGGAAAAATATGTATCAATTTATCAAAGGAGAGTAATAATATAATGTGTTTTTTAAATATTGGTGGTTCCGTGTCAAAAATGATTTCCAAGGCACTTTAATTTTTTATTTTACATTTTGTGCTTTTACTGTGCTGCAGCGAGGTGTACGCGCAACCGGACGCTCAAAATTTGACGTATTTGACTCTAAAAGATCGATGTAAAAATGGGTTAAAAGTAAAAATTGCGTGCTTCTTGGTTTTTTTCTTCTTTTATTCATTTTTGCAGTTTCTTTAGGCAGAACTGCGGCTCATTGAGATTAATATCGATGCCATCGCTTGGAAAAGGTTTCACAAATATTTGTCCCGTTTTAAAAATATAAATGTTTACAAAATGAAGTAATAATTTCGTAAAAAAAAAAAATTTAAAGATAGAAAAAAAGTACTTATACATATGTAAGGTATATTGTACATCGAACGCTGAATGTCTTATATTCACCAATGACAATTTAAAAAGACGAATCAAAAGGAGAAAGTAACATTTCATTTAGAAAATGAGCAACCATCCATAACAACACCTCCTTCCCTCTCAATTTCATATTGTCAATAAAATTTTACATACCGACTAAAATATACCGCTTGGAACAAGTCACTGTTGCTTATTTTACGTGTGAGCGGAAACTACTGGACAAAAAAGGTGCTCGGACAAAATGTCCTGAAACCGAACGCCGTATGTACATTCGAGAGTTGCCAAATTTCCCCAGATAAAAAATGAACTTTGTAGGAAAGTTGTGCGTAGTTTCCCCTCAAATTTTGAGATATTTTAGATAATAGTGTGCGTAAGATTGTCCGAAAAATTTGAAGAAAAGTACCCAAAAGTTTTCTTGAAAATTCGTATTTCATCGTAGGAAATTTGGCAACGCTCGATGGCTCATACGGCGTTCTTCCTCAGCACAGCGGTATTGATGAACCAATGAAACGGAAAAAATTGTGCTCCTAATTTGAGATTTGGGCCCCTGAGGACCCACAGTTAGAAATCTAGTGGTATTAACGTGGTCCTAAGGGACTCGGAAGTAACGGAGGAGCCCTGAGAGCCTCAGGTCCTCAGGAGCCTGAGGTCTTGACCTCAAGTGTCTAGTTTCAAAGATTTCAGTGGGGCTTGGGAAAGAATGGAGGGACCCCAAGAACAAAAACTATAATAGTAAAATTTATCAACAGCCCCAAGACCCCTAAAGTGACGGAAAGGGGCCCTACGATGAAAAAAAGGGGGCCCCTAAATGAAAAATATAAGCGGTTCATGCAAGGCGCCGTGCCGGACCCTCGAGGACTTACAAAACATTTCAAAAGTGGTGGTACGTGTGAGGGGTGAAAAGGCGGCCCTCCAAAATATTCAACGAATTTTTTTTTTTTTTTTTTACTTTTTCTATTTACGACGATATTGATATTCGGTGTTGGAATTAAGTGCATTGCATGATACTATGCTACGCGACGTGGTGGTTTTTTCGGAACGAACGCTGATAATTCTCCGTAATGGTAATGCGCCACCTCGAGACAAGTGATGTTTCGATTGTCACTTTTCTCTCCTTTTTTTTGATGATGATGAGTTGGCTCGCATTACCTGCAGGCGCGTGTCACACATATCTGACGAAGGTTTCAACCGTAGGAAAATATATGCTACACTGTATTTTTGAAACTAGGAAGGTATTTGGTTCGTCAAAGTAGACAAAAATAAAAAAAAAAAAAAAAAAAAAAAAAAAAAAAAAAAGCAAATTTGATTTAAAGAAAGCCACTATCAACTTTTAAATGTTTTTCCTCACCGCTAATCTGAGTTTGAAGAGGACTCTTTTTAAGGCATCTTTCAAGGTGCCAAGATGCATCGTCATCAAGGGATCGATTATTAAGAGAACACCTTAATAATCGATTCTTTACCATAGATTCAAATGGAGAAATATCGATAATCGATCATTCATACCTCGCCACCGGTTGTGTGTCCTATTTTGGACCAGTCAGTCACTGAAGTTACGGCCTTATTCGTTGAAATATTATGTACTCATTTGTCATCAACAGTATCTGGATTATTTTGTATACAAGGGAAAATCATAAACAAACTAATAATCATGTAGGTTCTGCTAAAATGGTATAATAAAGCTTTGAAACAGGTCTGCTGACGACACCTTCCGGATTTACTGGACATTTCTGAACAAACATTTAAAGAATTGGTGCATGAATTTAAAAAAAATAGAAAAAGCAAGAAACACACCCTATTTTTTGCAGTGAATTAAAATTATAACAGTGGAAGTACTCTCAATAAGTTCCTGGTTCTCTACAAGTCTCGGATTCCATGACGTCGCGTTAAGATAGCTGTTTACAATCTCTGAATGCCGGAAGAGCGTCACTGGAGTGGAATTTGAATCTCTGAAAGCCGGAAGATTGAGACTTGTCTCCCATTTTTCTCAAAGGTCTCTCTGCCAGTCACAGGATCACAATAAAAGGCGCAGCCCCAACTCCATCGACAAAAAGGCGGAGCCGAAGGTAACCCGAATTTATGCTTAGGCAGGCATGCTGCTTCATGGCAGCTGGATACGCCGGACACATTAAGCCGATTCAGGGCAATCCTACACAAACATAATAGACTTATTAGGATGACACCATAATACATACAAATAATTATTATTGTCAGTTGTAATGAGATGGATGATCGGATTCGGATCAGACAGGAGATGAAATAGGGAGAGAAAAATGGCAAAAATGATGCACGACCGTCTGTCTTTGCCAAAGAGGAAATTGGTGCTGTGAAACCCTGAGAGCACACAACGTTTTAGAAATGTTTTGAAAATGTGTCCATGATATATTTCTAAGACGTCTCACAGAAACGTTTTGGGTACCTTAGGAGTCGTCAGAACGATTTCAGAATGTTTTGAAAACTTCTTCAAGTCACCTATTTTAAGATGGCAGTGAAAATTCTTCGGAACCGTCTTAAAAACTTTTGAAATCTTTTCTGTGGACTGTTTTGCTGATAATATTTACTGATTTAATTTTTATCGAGAGGGTTTAGCAACATTTCTAACATCTATAAAAATAATTCAGGCACATCATGTATGGCTAGAGTCATCAGGGCCTTAAATGAGGTTTGAGGGTCGTTCTTCCCGGGCTGAGGAAAAATCGATCAATTTAGCGCTCCGGATATCTTTGAGGATCTCATCAAGTCTGGGTACCTGCGTGTGATTCGACGGTTGCCATTTTTTGTGTCAGAGCGGCGCGCGATATATCGCATCGATTCGTTCTATAATTTCAGCTACGTGTCATTTTTTTCGAATTTTGAGATCGCACTTCTATTGTCATGAGACCAAAGAATTCATGTACCAAATTTGACAAAGAAATTCAACGTAAGAAAGGTATGGTTTTTTTAAAGGATAAATATCGCATTCAAGTGCACTTTCGATATCAGTATCGAATGGAATATTTTTCCTCTAAAAAACCCTGAGATGACGTTACAAGTCGGTAGATTTTCTCACTTTCGAATCCATTTTTATACTATTTCCCATATCAGAAAAAAAGTATTAAAAATACTTCGAAATCTGCTCCTCGAGCACTTTCAGATGCGCGTTAGTTGCACCATCCCTAGAGATTGGAAAAAACCAATCTGAGTTTAATGAACAAACGTTAGCTCACGTTGTGGGATATTTTTCGGTTTAGGATCACTTCCGTGCAAATCATAAAAATGTATTTTCTACAACTGTGACTGAAATATGACACAAAATAAGTGCCAGACGGTCGGAACGTATGCCATTAGCATCCGGAACATGACTGCACAGTGCACATCAGATTGGCATATTTTTTTCATTTTGTATATTTGTTTCCTCGAGGTTCTGCGTGTGTTTTAAAGTGCGTTGCCAACTTTGGCATGATGCACAGTAACTGATGACTTAAATCTCTTACCGTAAAACCTGAAATCAATGTATAATTTCAAGGACTATCCACCAGGTTCAACACCACACGCACAAAAACGTCGCAACTGTGGTTACTCCATACTGGAAAAAACCACATTGGATCTAGAGTCCAGACTCTTAAAAACATCGACAAGAAAAATACTAATGATTCAGTCAGATTTAAGCTTAAATCAAGAACCAAGCCTCTTAATTTGAGCGGATTTCCTTTTGATTTAAGCTTAAATCTGATTAAATTAAGAGTCCTTACTCTTGTCAATGTTTTCAAGAGTCTGGACTCTAGATCCAATGTGTTTTTTTTTAAGTTCAAACTCCAAATTTGTCAGCTAGCTTAGGCGTTTACTAAAATTATTAATGCAGTTTTGAACAGAGGCTGCATGCTTTCCAGCACTGTCTGGTTCTCTCATTATGTCTCGATGAAATTCTCATGGAAACGAAGATGATACCCTAGCGTTAGGCATGAATTATTCTCGAAAATCTTATTTCATAAAATTCAATCCTAAGTATAGATGTAAAAACATTTTTAGATCATAAATTCGTTTGAAATCCTCCTCCTTCTGTTCAATACGATTTTAGAGCATAAAAGACAATAACTGGATTGGAGCTATTTCTGAAAGATCTGTGTTAAGTTGCTTGGATTATGGGGAAAACGTAACAAAACGATCTACTCGGCCCGATCAGAACTTAATTCAGACTGAAGGTTTATTTTTGGAGGGAAAAGGCCTGGAAGATCCAAACATTAATAACTACGATCTAACTACGACCTGAAATTTGTTCCAAATAGTCCTTAAACTACGAAACGCCGTTAAGGGCTACACAAGTTCTTAATTAAAAAAGAAAAAAAATGTAGATAAAACGTACCTACTTGCGTAAATATTTGTAAAACAGGGATCTGAGGACCGAAACGCGTCCCTGTTTTACAAATATGTATGCAAGTGAATACGTTTTATCAAAATTGTTTTGTTTTCAAACTTTTTAAAATTTTTTTATGAATTTTCGATCTTTTGAACGTCATCATATGCCATCAAATTCTGACGACTAAAACACAGGAAGCTACACTGCAAAATTCAATGTAAGTGTTGCTTTTTAAAATGCTCCAAGTTGGCCAATTTGCCCGTCACCCCGAACGAAAAAACCAGGATTGGCAACATCCGTTCTCCGTGTTTAAATATCAAAATGAAAATGTAGTGCCTTCGCACAACATTGTATTATTCAGTATGGGCCACTTGCAGATATTCTACACCAAGACTGATGGTGGTTTGAGAGGTAGATGAGGTAAAGGTTAATATTAATTGCGAGAACTTCCCCTACCTTACCCGGAAAAAAACAGCTCAGGCTCATGTCTGATGAGGTCAAGTAGCGGTAGAGCTACCTAAATTTTGAGTTGGTACCAGTCACTCTCTTAAGATCTGACATAATCCGAGCAGGGCTGGTGCCCACAAAATCTACGTAATGCGATTTGACCCACCTCCCTAGCATAGCCGGATTAAGAGGGTGGCCCCATGGGCTGCGGCCCATGGCGGCAAATTTTGCAAATTTTTTAAATGTAGGTATTAAAAAAAAATCGGATTTAGGAAAAATATTACAAACGAGAAAAGGCGACCAAATCTCTCATTTCCTGAGAGTACAGTAATTTCTAATTTTGTCGTCTTTCAGTAATACAAGAGACAGCACCTTTAATTAGTCGAGTTAAGAGAGAAACCAAACACGCAATTTTGCCTGGAACGGCGCGACTTAGAGAGAAATGATGACGAGGACTTGAGATGAAAAGGAGATGCCCTCGGTGCGGCGATCAGCATGTAACACATATTAGCGCCTACAAGACTGCACGAATACTTCACGTACTGCATCAAACACAGTGCGGTCATTGCGGTCAGCGTGAAACGGATAGCGCCTACAAGAATGCGCGAATACTTCACGCATTGCGGCGAACACAGTGCGTTCAGCAGCGGTCGGTGTGAAACTCATAGCGCCTACTGGACTGTCGGAATACTTCACGCATTGCGCCAAACACGGTGCGGTCTGCGCGGCGCGGCCCGGCGGCGAAAGTTAAAATCATTAATCCACATTTATGTTTATTCTTTCATGATTTTGTCGTTCATATGAATGGAAGGCCTCGTCCACACAGGGATAGGTTTACAAGACTTAACTTTCGCGCAAAGTTCCGTGAACTTTTGCTAGTAGTGTTGACAAGGCTTTCCCGAAAAATGTGTTCAACACCAGTAAACGCGTCTTATGCACCCCTCCCCCGCTGGCACGTTCATTTGATGGTTTTCATTGATGTTTCAAAACGAATGAGGAGGGGGCGCAATATACAGGCGGCCCAGGGGCGGCAAGTAGGTAAATCCGGCCTTGCTCCCTAGGCGAGAGCACTGAACCGTTTTCTTTGTGGAAAGTTCTCTTTCATTAAAAACACATTATAGACTTTGAGGCTCACCAGGAACTCGACACACCAAAGAGGGCGAGATTTACGAAAACAACCGTTTTTTGGTATCATATGAAGGGCTTGGAGGACGAGGCGCAGACAGGGACAGTTTTTGAAAAAAATGAGATATTAATTATTTCAAATAAAACTAGTCATTATGACTACGCTGGGGAAAATCCGCCCCCAAATTCCAATTTTTAAGCATCAAAATGTCAGTCTGAACTTTCTCTCCGCCTTCAGGATTCGTGTAATTTCGAAACTTCAACCCGGTATTTCTCGAAGTAACAAAAACTGCACTTATGCGCCTTATTCTTCGAGCCCCTCATACATAGGAAGCGGTAGGGAAACAAAACGACAAACCTTGCACGATCACAGGGTATACGAGCGCGAGCAATGGCTCTGGATCCAGGCCAGTATCCAAGGCGTTTACATTCGTCATTATTTCGGACATTGTGTAAAGTTTGAATGAACGTTGGGCGGTAATCTCCAGACCCTCTTTCAAAGGCAGGAGCTATGGACGGAGTTCCTCTCGCCTGTGGAAAAAGAGATAGCTGATGTACAGTTGAGAGTGTCAAAGAGACGTAGGCCACAGGCCACTTTCAGCCCAACCCTGGCCCAACCAAAAGTGAGTTGTCTTAACTCTGGGTATAAATGGACTCTACATATATCTGATTGCTTCCAAGGAAGAACGACTCAAAAAATTTTCTTAGATCTTAGAAGGATGAATATCAGACAAAGTAAGACCCGTTTTTGTTAAGTTCACGCCTTGCGGCAAAAATGTTAAACTGTTCCTCGTTCGTTCAATTTTTTCCCTTCTTTTTTCACCTCTCTTACTTATTATTAGTATCAATAACATAAATACAAATATTTTGCACAGTGTAGCGATTACAGGATGTATCTGACAATGCGCTAAAAATTAACTGTTTTTGTAGAAAATGTTTAATTTTATTCGTACTTCCACTGCGCGTTAAAAATGAAACAAGATTGATAGATCAAAGACTGACTTACGGCGGATACTCTCAAAGTCCGAAACTCAATCGTACAAATCAGAGGCAGGAGAGCAAGGCTCTTCAAAAGAAGACCAGAGTTTTGCATTTTACGATCACAGCCTGCTGCTGTACACGGACTGGTACTCTGACATCAGTCACGCTTTGCTTTTAAGAGCGTCAGCCAAGCACTCACGCCATCGAGAATCGAAGCCTGAACTTCATGATTATGGCGATGCGACGGTCTCGGCTCCGTATCATTGCCGCCCACTTTACTCGATTTTATCATTTCTCCCACTTTTATTTTCGCAAATTATTGCTGTGGCAACAGCGCCACGGTTTCAACGGCAAGAGAGATGTGAGTTTTAAATGGTTTTGTTGATTTCCATGCCTCAGAAAAAACGCTGTCTTTTTTTTTTTTAGGGGCTGAGTAATGACAGCTCACGAGACACCTCCAGACTGATTTTTTAACAACACTAGACCGTAGGAAAATAAAATTTGAGGAAAAAAAATAATAAAAAACCGAACCTTTGAATACATGTACCAGCCTCCAGGGGTTTCACAAGTAAATTACGGAGACTGATTAGTAGTAAAGCCAAGATAAGGATTCAGTGAGGTTACAACCCCAGATGAAAAATAAGACTACTGAAAAAGGTTCCGCGAGGGGTGACGAGATATAGGAAGAAAACGCAATAACAGAGGTCATAATAATTTATTCAATATTCATAATACATCATTTTTAATACGTTTGATACAGGTGGATCTTAAAGTAAGGAGTAAGCAGGGTTCTAGAGCAGTGGTCCCCAAGTAAGCTGAAGACCGGAAGACCCGCGCGGCAAAATCCAGCCTAGGGACTCCGAGACCACAAGCGCAGCGCCCTTGACGGTCCAGACAATCTCGCGGTGGTCTTATAGGCTCCCCTCTCACAGACGGAATATAAAATCTGCAAAAACGTCAGAAAATGTCAGTTATTTCAATCAACAAGGTACACTTGGACCCTCTGATAGTACTTGGGGACCACTGTTTAGAAAATAAATTCGGCTTTCAATTGCCATTTCATCCTTTTGGCTCTAAAATATATTTTTAAACATTTATGAAAATATCACGGAAGGCATGTAGATGAACTGTCACTTGGCAGAATTGAAGGAGGGAAAAATATTCAAGTGTTTTTGACTGTATTACTCTTTTACGTAATATTTATATTCATATCTCGTGCGAATTGGAAGTTCTTACGCGCTGGAAAACCCATTCGTTTCTCCTGGGTGTTCTCTGTTCAGTGAACTTCATACAATGAGCTTTTTGTCCTATTTCATCATGAGGAAAACCCCAAGAAAGACATCGCTTTTGACTGGATTGACTAAAGACTGGTGCCGAAGATTTTTAAATCGATGGTTCTAACCTGGGATGTTGAGTGGATAGCAGCGGTTTGTAAATATATTAGAAAGATTTTAAAAAGATAAGATGGAGAAAAAAGAAAAATCTGACATTCTATGACAATACACCGTAAATAGGCTTTTAAATCACTTTTAAATCCTGTAGATGGAGTCATTCTTTGAAATGGAGGATTTTAAAAGATAAAATTGTTACTGTGAAACTAGCACCCCGTCTTTATCGGCTAATGTTATTTCTCGATGGTTAGTAAAGTATAAATGTCAGATGACGCCGAACTATTGGTTAACCGTTCAGGAGGTTGAGTCACGGTGTGGCAAAGACACATGGGTTTTCAGGGATTGAATTTTAATCCCTCTACAAAATATTGATAAGAAAAAATGAGGCGCGGAGTCTTACAAATACACTGAAAGACTATTATTAAGTATCACTGATGAATATTCGCCGTTGCGCCCTGGCAATAATCGCCTTCAAATGTGAAAGCATGCAACCCCCCATGACGGCCGAGTTCGAATAGTTACTGCAGAGCACGGCGCTCCCATGCCGGTGACAACGAAGGAGGACACCCTGTGCTCATACTGTGAAGATTATTACCCGTTCTACCGCGTTATCAAAGAAAGCACTAACGCCCTTTTCGAAATAAACTTTCCTTTAAGAAATCCGTAAAAACTCAACTTAAAATTAATGTAATCTATTAAATTTCGGCCTTTAAATTTCCTTTAAAATTCGGGTAATCCAGTATAAATGAACGGACTTAATAACAACAGTGAAAGTCATATCTGTAAAAAAGGGACTTATGTAAAAACATCAAATGCGCATAAATCTACTTCTTTACCCACAAAACAGCAGTAAGAACACATTATCCCACTCTCATGAGAGGGATGTACGGACTATTGTCTTGAGTAACACGGTGCTCTTTCCTGCCAATTTTTTTTTCCAGTCGATTTTATGGCTATCATCCCAGTATGGCCCACGGCCACACTTTTCCCAATTTCTAAGCTACAAAATGTATCTTTTGTCAATGACTTAGCAAGCCTGCAAAACTTGGCACGTTCCGTTGTCTTGCCGAACATGAAATGAAAAAAGGCTCATTTGGACGTATTTATGCTAAGAGAACCTATATTGCTGTCAAGCCCTACGGCCTACAAACATAGTTCCTTTTAGCTTAAATACGTCCATTTTACATAGTCAAAGATGCAATTCTTCAATCCTTAGTCCTCAAAATTTTTGATCGTCCTTTGAATGATCATATGTTACGAAGAAAGATTTGTTCAATGAAATCCACTCGGACACCGTGAAGTCCATTTTCTCAAAACATCATGTTTTCTCCAATTTCACAGATAAAATGGGAGGGGGGGTGTTGATTGTACACTCTAATTTCCCAGAATTTAACCAGTAATGCGCAATTACATACCATCTCAACCCCGTACATCAGTGCGTCATTGGCCTAATGAATAGTACCCAAATAAATTAAGATGTATCTCCCTTTCGGAATCCTCCAATTACACGTTATGAACACTTCGAAAACAATCCTATTCGCTTTATATTTATGCTGCTGAGGCTATATTTCAGTACTCATCAAGTACTGTACTGTTATACGTGGTACTGATCACTTTACAACATATGAGATGAGCTTAAACGTCACTGATACTAATTTTAGTGGTTTCTGTCCCCGTTCACCCCCGTCAGCCAATCATTGGACCGGCTCCTTATCGACAAGCCACTCGGGGAGGAATGGCTTAATGAACTTGGGTAGAAGCCCGTCTCTGAAGAAAGAGACATATTTAGTGAACACACCCAAAAAATGCGAGATGATGGACCAAAAGAGACCCTCGAGGGATCCGAAGACCGGGTCACGTTTCTTCTTCTTCTTGATTTTGATGGGTATAGGCAGATGCTGGATGACCTGCTGCACCTCGCGGTGGTTTCCTCGGCCGAGGCTCCGCTTGACCTTCCTCCGACCCTTCGTGACCTTCGCCTTGGGCAGGGTATCCGAGTTCGTCCACAGCTCGACCGTATGACGCGAAGGGATGTCCGACGTCACGCTCGGGGTCGTGACATCGAGGATGGCCGTCGTGATCTCTATTTGGTTCGCGCCCAGAATATTAGTGGAATCCAGTTCGGTGGCAGGCGCGGATTTTCGGACCGAACTCCGATGACCTCCTGATGACCCTCTCGAGCTGCCGATGAAGTTCGTCTGCGAATCAGAGAGCCCACATTCTAATTTATTTTTCATTTCAAACATCAACTCAATATGCATCGAGTTGGGAATAATGCATTGGATTGCATTTTGCAAAAAAAAAAAAAAAAAAAAAAAAAAAAAAAAAAAAAAAAAAAAACCAAGAGCATTCCAATAATTTTGGGCCAATTTATCACTGTTGTCTTTTTAAAAAGTAGAGAATTGTTAAAGTAGATTTTGAAACCAGGGATTGAATATACGTTCCTCCGCCGGAGAAACGACGATTTGTACAAGGTTTCATTAACTATGAAAGGCCGTTTGTAACTGAAGTTACGAGTCTGTGACATTTTGTCTCCAAATTGAATTTTTAGCCAGGAATACTTATTGTTAGCTGAGCAACCTCTGAGACTCATTGCAAAACATTTATTTTACGTTAAGAGACAGAAAGGGGGAGGGGGCATTCATCAAACGATGTAACATCATTGGTACAAAGTTAGAGGGGGTGGAAGGGACTTTTGGATCACCCTGTATAATGCACGAAATTCGCTCTACATATTTTGAAGTCGATTCTACACATATTTACGAATTTCGTATATATTTCACGATTTTTGCCGTAAACTTTGAGGGCGGTTCCATATATATTTGTACATTTCTTTATATACATTACGACAGTTAAATAGGTAGGTTTCTATTGACCATGCGCTCATATAATTTACATAAGGTAGAGGTAAGGGAGATAGGCCTGTAACTTGAGGGTTTGGTTCTGTCCTTACCTGGTTTAGAAATCGGGAGAATGGTTGATTCAAGCCATTGCTGTGGGAATTGGTTAGAAGTCCAAAAACCGTTTAGAGTTTGTAACAAATATTCTTTACATTCAGTAGGTAGATTTTTAATCATGAGATTATGTATTTCATCAGGACCCGGTGCAGTATTATTTAATACAGCGATAGCATCATTCAATTCTTGAGCAGAGAAAGGAAGATTGTACTGTTCCAAATTATCAGAATCAAAATCAAGCTTTTTCTGTTCTTCCTGAATTTTAAAGTTGAGGAAATCTTCAGAGTAGTGATCATTATTGCTAACAGAACAGAAATGATTTGCAAGCTCATCAGTGATCTGCTGAGTATCGGTCAATATTTCACCATTTTGTGATTCAAGAGATAAAATGTGGGTTGGGGGAGGACGTCCCACAATTTTTTTGATTTGTGACCAAACTTGGGCACTTGATGTGTTAGTATTTATT